TCTCTAATGTTGTGTTTTATACGTACAGTACATATTTAATATTCTATTGTTGTATTTTATACATACAGTACATATTTCATACGCTAATGTTGAGCTTTATACATACAATACATATTTAATACTCTAATGTTGTGTTTTATACATACAGTACATATTTCATACGCTAATGTTGAGCTTTATACATACAATACATATTTAATACTCTAATGTTGTGTTTTATACATACAGTACATATTTAATTCTCTCTAATGTTGTGTTTTATACATACAGTACATATTTAATACTCTAATGTTGAGCTTTATACATACAATACATATTTAATACTCTAATGTTGTGTTTTATACATACAGTACATATTTAATACTCTAATGTTGTATTTTATACATACAGTACATATTTCATACTCTAATGTTGTATTTTATACATACAGTACATATTTAATGCTCTCTAATGTTGTATTTTATACATACAGTACATATTTAATTCTCTCTAATGTTGTATTTTATACATACAGTACATATTTAATACTCTCTAATGTTGTATTTTATACATACAGTACATATTTAATGCTCTCTAATGTTGTATTTTATACATAATTACTACCCGTCCTGATTGGTCAGCTGTCAGAAAGGCGCTTGACGTCACCCAGTGCTTTTCTGAAAAGTTGAAATAATTCAACTGAAAAAGGCGTCGGGCACAGCGCTTTTTGAAAAGGCGTCATCATTTTTTCATAGGCTTGTATGTAAAAAAGGCGCTGGCAGTTGAAAAAAGAAGTCAAGTGTGAACATCCCCTTAGGATGGACATTTATGACTCTGAGACATGCAGGCGTCTATCTTTTCTACATCAGCACCTAGCCCGTATTACCATGGTTACAAAGTAGTTGCATGTAAAAACACTCTTTGTGTTTATTCTGGGATAATGCACTTTGTGGTGTTTAATATCAGATGTTTGTAAAGTACACAGATCTAAATACAGGACAGACCTGGACACTGTTAACTTTATAATATAAACCAAACAAACACAGATCATTGCTTCAAAGGTAAGTTTGTGTACTCACTTCACTCTGATCATTATGTCTTAACGATGATCATTAACAATGTTTTCCCCTCACAGACGATCAAATTGTTTCCGTACCCAGACGTTGAATTCACTGCCGAGGATCTGCTCCATGTGTCCTCGCCTTTTTGGATGTGTCGTAAGCGTCCAGGTAGCTTACACTTCTGAAAATCCACTCTTTCAATGTTTGATTTTCACTCACTGTTGTCAGCATTTTAATGAAGATGGGGATGTGTTTTATTTTCATACATCTCAGAAAATAGGAGGATGTGGACATGCATTCCTGTGTGACTTTTACACTGGACCCAGACGCCTCTCTGTTTACTATGAGAACTTTGACGGCAGGTTTTACCCTCCGATGAGGACAGCACCAAGAAGAAGCCATCAAAATCATCGATTCCAGTTCGAAATCTTAAAAGGACCTCTGAGCCTTTCAAACGTCGACATGCTCAAAACGGCTTCATGTAAATAAAGAACTGGCTCTGCAGTTTTAAACTAATTATCAATCAATCCACTTATGCATAGCACTAAATCAAAACAGAAGCTCAAAAAAGACTTTACAGAAGAGCAAGTCTAGAACATTCTCTTTGTTATTTTATTTCAAATCAAACATGAGCAAGAACCTGACAACATTAGGTAAGGAAAAACGTCCTCCTAACCGGCAGAAACCGAAAGCAGAACCAGACTCATGTCGAATATTCATCTGCAGTGACCGTGTTAGGCTAACGGAGGGAGTAAGCGGATGTAAAGGACCCAAGCAGAGAAAGACCTTTTTTCAAGGGGTGATGCTTTTTTAAAGAATCTAGAAATAGCTTAAACATTGCTCTCATCAAAGCTACCAGACTGCATTGGAAGAAAATTATCATTTTACCTTGCAAAACAGAGGAGTGGCTGGTCTACCACTGCTTCAATCAGTTAGTTTGTATGCCATCTTGTGTCTTACTTCAATGTTAACTCTAAAGTTACACAATAACACAAAAACTAGCTAATCATGGTCCAAGTAGACCAGCAACTCTATTGTTCTTCATTGAGACTTTATATTATTAAGCTTCTTTTCTTACACAGGCTTTGATGTGATTGAGTGATGCCTAGATTTTTAACCTGGGGAGAGCCATTAGCTTTGTGAAGTTACATATTCCTCTGCCTCACTCAGTGACGTCTCTCTCTCTCTCTCTCAAACACACTCGCACTCTTCATCTGATTTATTTTCATTAATACACACATGCATGCAAGCACACACACAAACACACCTTTCACAATCAGACAAGCTCTACCCGTGCTTTATTTAACTCGCCTTGCTTCTTTCAGCACTTACAATCGATCCGGATGCAACAGCGTCTGTCACTGTGATTTGTCTTGTATGTTGTCCGTGTGTTTCAGTCATTCTCCTGGTGTGTTTTGTGGTAGATCGATGACTTTCATTTGTGTCCCACCACAACATTGCATGGGGTGCAAAAAAGTTTACCCCTGCTTCCGTGCAGAACATCGGGGAATTGCCTTGCACGGTCCTTAGCTGTAGTTTTTGTCGGTAAATGTGCAACATTTGTGTCGGACATGTCTGCATCTGCATGTAAACAAGGAAGTGAGTAAACTTTGTTGACGTATGGCGGAAACTGTTTTGATTGGTCAAAGTTGCAGAAAGGTTGCGGTGATTGGATAAAATTGTAAGGTTCCCAAAATTCACAGGGATTGGTTGAATTTGCGCTAATTGTTAAATCGCAACTTCCTGGAGGGACTGAGCAGTGTTATCAAGAGGTCATGGAGAGTTTGATTAGTTTGATTAATTTGAGTATCTTTTTAGGGTCCATTGCATAGCCCACTGCAGAAATGACATAGCCCAGGTATGACACCTCCCTTCGAAAAAGAGAACATTTTCTCTATTTACCCTTCAGGCCAACCACTAGCCAAGTCAAGCGTTGAAAACCACTGAACACCTCCCAGCACATCCAGGGATTCTTCAATCACGGGCAGAGGGTATGCGTCCTACTGGGTCTTTGCGTTGAGCTGTCGATAATCCATGCACATCCTCAGGGTCCTGTCCTTCTTCCGCACAATCACCAGAGGTGAGGAGTAAGGGCTGCAGCTCTCCCTAATTACCATCTGCTGCAACAGCTGCCTTATGTGGGGCTTAACCTCATCATCGCCAGGCGAGTGCGCGAACATCTGTGCTGCCCAAGTTGACAATGGGGACCATTAGTTCCCCTCCCTCAACCCAGAATTAAGACATGGACACCAGGAAATGATTAGGTAAAACCCCTTCCTCCACCCCTAAGGCCTCTACCAGAACTGCGTTACCCTCAGAAACCTGTGGCTGAAACAAGGCACATTGACTCAGCAGGTACAATGACAGGTGAAGACGCTAGCACCTTAGCAAAACCTTGGGCAGGGGCTGAGGTTGGGGAACCCGAGGGACATGATGAACAGTGTTTTCATTTCTTCATTAAAATTTTCCCAATTATTCCCGGCACTATTCTTTTCCACTCTCATGTTTCAGAGTCAGAGGAGTCTTCCATAACTAGCAGCCCACACTACATCTGCATTGTCTTCAGACGTCTCCCCTGAGCCTGCTTGTCCCCCATCTGTAGTTTGGCTCTCCACTAAAAGGGGTAGACTTTTCCCTGCTTCACGAATAAAAACGTGATCTGCGCAGTACAAGCTCATTTCATCGTCTGAGCTGCCTGGTGGATATGGATGTAGGAAGAGGGTCATTGTTGGAGTCTCGGAAATAACAAAAACATCCACAGTTAGCAGTGATAGCTATGGACGCTATTAACAATGAAGTGGACGTTCGGTTCGCGGCTCTTAAAATGGTTTACATCAGACCCTAGACATCAAACTACGCTCCTATGCAATAAATAATGATTTCTGTTACATTTTTATGGATGTCTTACATTACAACCAAATTTAATAAAACGATTGGAACAGATCGATGCATATTAGCAACATTATAAACTGTAAAATGTAACAATACATAAAGACAATACTGTACAGTTTGTGTGATTTATATGATTTCATACATTTATTTAACAAAATAATCCTGATGAATTAGATTAATACCAGAAAATGCAATCAATAAAGTAAACGGCCGGCGATAAGAACTACAAACGGGCGCATGACAAGTGACAAATAATGACGTATTGATAATCGTCACTTGTGAGCAACCTCTTTATTAGATCCTTTCAGGGGGTATTCAGTTCCTATGTACTAGTCAATTAGAGACAGAGTAGGAAGGTCATCCCTTCACCATCCTAGGAAAAAATTGCAGCAAACTTCTGAAAATTGTCAATCAACCAATCAATGGTGTGAATCAGAAGAGATTTAGTAATGGGTATACCCGAGACTGAAAAATAAGTGGGTATACTCCATATACCTGCATATACCCTGCACTACACCTGTCTTAACCATATCATGATGTTGGGAACATAAAAGTAATACTTAAATGGTTAAAATGGCTGTGACATGAACTACTCTTGCATATTTAGGGCCTAGTATTTCCACAGTCACATAACTTCTGAGGCTTGGCTTCAGAAAGTAAGAATCATTATGAATTTAAGAATAGCCACCAACAAGAGCAGATTTTGAAATCAACACTGGCCCACAGAACATAGGCTGAGACGACATCATAATTAAAAAAATGTGAGTGAACTATCTCTTATTCCTTAGCATTGGCACTGAGCAATACCAGTTTGGCATTTGGATTTTTGTCGTAGAAAAACATTTCTCAGCACTGGTTACTTGACATGATAATATCTTGGTTTTTAAACCAGCGTCAGGGATTATGTTAATGTCTCAGTTGTTTGTTACCGTCTGTTATGTTGAACTCTTCAGAGTAGGACATCATTTCTGTCTCTTTTTTAAACAAGGATCCAGCACTGTATAACTTAAGGATGACAAACAACTGTTATGAGAGGAAAGGAAAACCTGTTATGATCACTTCAAAAAGTCCAATTTACAAAGAAAAGTTTAATAAATGAATGTAGAACAATGTATGAAAGTTAACTATGTGTAATGCACAAACAGTCATTAAATAACAGATTTTAAAGTGATAAATAACTACTGATTTACTGAAATGATCGATCAAATGATTATAGTCCTTTATGGAACTGTTGACTGACAGGAAACAGGGCTGGGAAAACAAGGCACCACATTTTGAATACAATAGTTTATATCAATCTTAATACCCAGTCAACGTGTTTCTGCTGCTCAAATCCATAATTAAGAGAAAGTAAGTCTGTAGGACAAAATGTGAAAGCATAAATGGACACTTTCCAGTATGCCCTTTCCTTCTGTGGTGCCGTCTCTTTTGTAAAATTAGTCCTTTGACATATACACACATTTATTTGGCAACACATTTTCAGTAGGATAGAGAGAGGGGGAAACAAATCATTAAATAAATAACCCTGTGATTATTTCCAACTTCATAAAGTACAAGAAAATGCAGCACTATAGGAACTGTATTGCATTTGTAAACAAGTCTGCATACTGAAAGCTTTAAGCTGTAAAAGCAGAAAGGATTTTATTGATCATTGATAAGACATGAGGGACACAACTATATACACGGATATATATTCCCAACATCCCCACCTTCTACAATGTAACAGAGTTTAAAAGAAATAAACACCTTTAAAAAAAAAAAAAAAAATCCTGGGTCCAAACTTTGACTTTTTTTTTTTAACCCCATGATCCAGGGTCACTGTCCATGAAAAGGTCCAGTTTCCACTCAACCAGTCACACACCAGTATATAGTGACAGGAAGTAAATATACAAAAGGAATATGGGATATATGAGTAGGGGTTTCTTTGTCTTGAATTCATCCCCGACGAGCAGCGAAGCAGCACTGTAAGCAGCCCAGAACACCCCGAACAGCTGAAAGATCAGAGGAGACCACAGTTTCATTATCTTTATCCATCAACATGTCTCATTGAGAAGCATCATAAAACAGATTATTGAAGGAAGCAAGAAGAAGGGTATGGATTTCTATCAAAATAACATTGTTAGGATTTTCCGCTAATATTTTGTTTTACATGAGTTTCATTTTGCTGTGTTTTAAATCATGTCGACAATGTTCGCACTGCTCACACACTGAATTTCCTCTGCTGCTTCGTCAGAGGCGTATGAATGAATTGGAAATTTTGAATTTGATATACTTTATTTTCCTGAGGAAACTTCTGGTTCACACTCTGTTATTTAGAGACATGCTTCTCACACACACATGCACCAACAGGACCTATGCATTATTGGAGAGATGTCAGAGTGAGGCTGCTACACACCGCTATGCAGGGTGCACACCAGAGCGGTGAGGTTCGGTCCCTTGCTCAAGGGCACCTCAGCAGTACTCGGAAAGTGACCTGGCACCTCTCAGCTACCAGACCAACTTCCAGATTTTGGTCCGCACTGGGACAAAGTCCTTACAGACTGAGCTACTGCCGCCCGAAATGGGATTAGTTACTTCTGATGGTCACTTTACACAGCAGCCTCTGCCATCAGTGTGTGAATGCTCAAGTCCATTTACCATTTAAGCAGTAATTCAGCTCAATACAAACAAAACAAAAGGATACAACAACCCTCTCCCTGTCAAAAACTACTATAATTGGTAGTTTTTGACAGACCCTCGATGCAAGCAGGTAGACAAGCCCAAGAACGTAAAGTAGAGAGGGTGTAGGGGGTATTTTACGAAAGACCTGTAATCTATCCATTTAACAACATGTCTGTTTATTAGCGAATGGTCTTTGACTTACTTTGATTAGTGTTGACACCACCTCGAACCCCCCGATTACTAAGAGCAATGGGGCTATAACGATGAGAGGAAGTAGGGAATATCCAATTACACCAAGAACCTGTCCAAAAGAAACCTGCACAAAAGAACAACAACAGATCCCCTCAGAACATGTTTATATTTGATTTTACAAGGACACGTTAAAGTCATGTCTGACAGTATTCTGACTTTCTGCAAAAGTGTCCAAAGCGCTTACCTCACCACCGAGAACACGGGCCAGCAGGAAGATCGTTAGTGATCCAAATATCCAGATGGTGATGATCCAAGACACAACCTGCGAAATAAAAACAGTCTGTTGTACTTTTAACCTAAATTACTTTTTTGACTGCTTTGTATTTGTATCATAATAAATATAGCTTTTTATTTGTAAAATATGCTAGCTGCTGCAAGTGGACCAGTCAATGTTTGTGATACGTTATCTCCTGCTCATCAATCAATCAATCAATTTTTATTTGTATAGCGTCAACTCATAACAAGTGTTATCTTGAGACACTTTACAAAAGAGCAGGTAAAAGACCTTACTCTTTGTTATGTTACAAAAAGCAGGTAAAAGACCTTACTTATTGTTATGTTACAAAAAGCAGGTAAAAGACCTTACTTATTGTTATGTTACAAAGATCCGGCCTATCCATCATGAGCACTTTAGCAAAGCAGCAAAAGTTTCAGTGGTAAGAAAAAACTGCCTTATTAAAAAGGCAGAAATCTTCAGACTGGATCCCCGGCTCATGACGAATCAGCCTTCACAGGCCTAGACTGCCCCGGGTTTGGAAGGGGATGGGGGAGAGATGGGATAAAATTCAAGACACCCACTTTTTTTGTGTACACACTCATGGAATCCCTGGGTTTACTTAACAAGCTGATTATCAGCATGGTGTGACTGCTCACATGATGTGAGGCTAATAGAGCTAGAGAGTCAAGTGTTATCCTTTGTATGTTGAACTAGGTTTGTAGTGCAGGACTCAGAACAATACGCTGTTTCAAGTTGTTGGTGCTTTTTTTTTTTTTTTTTTTTTAAGGGGGGGAGTGCCTTGAGTAGGGAACCAGGGGCAGAAAGTGGGGAAAGACATGCCAGAAAGGAGCCACAGTTCGAACTTGAACCCGGGCGCCTGCTTTGAGTACTATAGCCTCTGTAAATGGGGGCGTGACCTCACTGCGAGGCCATCTGATTTAAAGTGTTCACACATGTATTGACAAACCCCATTGTCCACATTAGAATCTATGTAAGACACGACAGAAAGGATTGTGCTGCATTTTAACTGGAGTACGACAGAAAGCCAAACAGGTTAAACCGGTTATCAAAGTGACGTACCAAACAGTCCTTAAAAATGAAACATTGTGGCTGGTTTTGATGTAGGCTATCATGATTATACAAATGTAAAGGATGCTGCAAATATATAATATATAATATATATAAACATATATTTGTAATTACTTCTTATATTTTATTTTATTTAAGTTCTTGCTATTTTGCTTTATTTCCTTTGTTAACTGTTTTTGCACCAATACACAAAGAATAATTCCTTGTATGTGTAAATGTACTTGGCAATAAAAACGATTCTGATTCTCAATAGTGGAAATTCAAGAAAGGCCTCACTGAGTTCTTAAAAGATGAGGTTATGGGAAGCCCCAGCCCCCTGACATTGTGCAGTTGAGAGGGCTTAAAGACAAACCCTTAAGCAGCGTGGGAAACATGCCTGAATTCATGAAGGCTGATAATATTAGGGTGATGTTTTACTGTGTTTCTGCTTACCCTGAACTGGCCGTAGATGGAGATCATTGAGAAGAGCAGCACCACGGCTAGAGGGCCCCAGAAGTCTGGGTTGTCTCTGACCACTTGGCGGTTATAACCCAGCGATGGCATTGGCATCAACACACATCGGATCTTGTAATAGATGTCCTTCAGGTCGATGTCCAGCTCCTCCCTGCTCACACAGACAAGACAACATAAGTCTTAATCATCCTTCTCTTCATATTGTACTTTAACAACAGTGACACATCATTTGGACAATTTTCTGCCTTTGTGATTCTACAAATTGGGTTTTCCTTAATGCCATATAAAGTAAAATCCCTCAAAAATCAATATTAAAAATGTCACATTCAGCTTGGTGCCAAATCTAGACTGTATTAAGAATGGACAGTGTTATATCTCGCCTCAAGAGAAGCCAAAAACTTGTCTCTGATATTAGTATAGATCGTAAACCCTGCCTCCCTCATGTTAACAGATTGGACATGGGTGGGGGACGACGACTATAAAATGAAAATAAACATCAACTCTATTTTCCTCACACCTGGTTTTGTTATGGTAGTTATTATTACGCAGGTTCAAGTCATTGTGTTTTTGAGAAGTTTCTTTCACTATAAGAGGAATAAAATGCTATGATTGGCAGCTCTGTTGATGCATTAGGTTCCTGTGACGCTGTGTGCACCAGATTAGCAGAGTACAGCAACGACAGCAAGAGGAAATGTTACAAACACTAACACAAAAGTCATTGGATTTTCCATAACTATGAATGTCTGCTTCAAACTGACACAAGAATGTGTTTTCCTGGGGACTGTACTGTCCCACTCCCAAGGGATCTTTAATGGGGATTTTTTTAGTAAATGAAAGCTGTGCAAGAATACGGCAGCTCTTCCAGCCAATCTCTACGTCTTAGACTCTGGTGGCACATTATGTCAGCGCCCGTCTGGGGGTACTTTGACTTCATTTTTGACTAAAAGACTTGTGAAATGGAGTCTCTGTCCTTACTGGGCTTGCAGATTTTACCAGTTGTTTTACCCTTTTTTAACTTAATAATACAGCTTTAGAAATGTTATGGACAGGTTAAGCTTCATTATCATTAGTGTTAGTGTACAGTAGTAAAGCTGAAACAAGAATATTAAAATTAATTTTATTTTGTTGACAATTGATCACTTTCAAAATAAACAATATTACGAGAAGTCAGCATTTATTTAAAGACATTTTTTCCGCTCATTATTATTTTATACCATTTTAACACTTTAAGGTTTATTTTGGGGTTTCTATGGTTTTATTTTTAGAGACAGGACAGTGGTTAGCGTCAGAAATAGGGGGGGAGAGACGTTTGGGAAAAGACATGCTAAAGGAGCCACAGGCCAGATTTCAACCCTGGACCCCTCTTGGAGGACCACAGCCTCTGTACATGGGGCGCGCATGCTAAATGCTAGCCTACCGGCGCCGCTTGACACTTTTTCCGTCACAAAGCGCTACATCTGAAACAACCATGAGCAGCCTCCACACTGTGGGGGTAACACAGAGAAGACTTTTCTGCTCCAGAGTCAAGATGTATTCTGGCTAAACCCTCAATTAGTATTTTAAGCTGTTGAAAATAAAACCTCAGGCTTAATCCTTGAGGACCACTAACATTCATTTTCAAAATTTAAATACAGAAAGCACTGTTAATCTGCCTCAACTATGATGGCACAACCAACTTCTCCAGTAAGCACGTCCTTAGTAGAGTTAGACTTTTTGTTATCCTGGGCTTGATCACTTTTAGACTTCTTGCCTTGTCCTAACCTGTATTACAATTTATCAAAAGAAATGTCCTAAATATTCCTAAATGTTTGAATTAAGTTGATGAAGTGTTACAAAAAGGATTTAAGTAGTATCATGCAACACTGTGTCTGCTCGTAATCAACGGGTGTTGCAGTCATTTTCATGTATTTCTTGGTTTAAAACTCTGGATGTTCTCCAGAGCTGCTTTTAGACATGCACTCCTGAAAATATAAAGACAATTTCAGTACTACTGATCCGGAGATTCTCCTGTCCTGGTTGTTCACATATGCACCAAAGAGCTGGAGACTATCTTTTTCAGACAGAAGAGGTGGCGGGGGTCTCTTGAGGCTAGACATGAGCCACAGGTAAACAGAGTCTCCTAAACGATGCTATAATGTGAATATTTGCCTTAGTAGCGGTCTTCTGCATGGAGTCTATGCACCGTGCACCAGTCATAGGATAAAAACGTCACCAGCCGTTCACACATTGGAATCAGGAGTCTTCTGCATGTGTGGAAGCCCTACAGTAGGTTGCCTCAATCTGCAGCAGCTGTATTCTTGGGGTCAAACATGCCTGATCAGAGTGGTTCTGTAAAGGTTCTTTGTTTTTGTTAATGAATGTTCAGATTGGCGTTTTAAGGTCCCAAAGAAATTACAGAATAGATCCTTTTAGAAACACTTACCTATTGGAATACAGTACAGCAATTTTACGATTCAGGTCACAGGAGTTACTGATCTACTGCAGTTTGTTTTTGTATAACCATACAACTGTGTAATACAAATTAACATACTACTGGGTTGGACATGAAGTAACCGTTTAAACCACCAAATTAACCCAAGAGCATGGACAAACGAGCATGTGGCTTTGGGGAGGAAATTTTAAGGCAGTTTCTGGTTTTAAAAGTTGTTTACCTTAAAAAAAGACGTTTTTTTTTCTGTAGAGAAACTCGTCTGACACATCAAATAACAATCAAAAACTTTACTGGACATACTTGATCAGGCACATTTACCCCCAGTGAGACTACGATTCAGTTATTACACTCCTTTCAACTGTTTCCAGCTGAAGTTATCTATAAGAGCAGTCAAAAATGATGTGTACCAATTTGAGATTATTTAGAGTCCAACCAAACCAGTTTAAAAATATCACAATCCCCTTTAAAGATTAACAGCTCACATGCATGTCTGTAGATGGGAGTGGACCATAACTATGTCTTGGAGATGCACTCTGTTGGGGTGCATCAAATTAATTTGGCTGGTATTGGTTGCACCAAGGCTCGTCCTTTTACTGCGTACACTTTTGCTTGCAGTTTCTATTGGAGAAATATAATGATGTAATGAAAAAATGACCAAGGTTGAAAAACTGAGAAAAAAAACAATAACAACCATATACTCACAGAAGAGGTTTGCTTTCTTCACTGTTATCCTCCTCCACCTCCAGCAGCCAGCCGTAGCCTCGCTGCCTCAGGAAGGTGGTGGCATAAGGATCTTTGACATTCTCACTGCCCATGTTTAGTTTAATGTCCGGGGCACTGATGGTGCCACTGAGCTCTGTGGAAGAAATGTTTGCTTTTGAGTACAGTGTTGGGTCACAGACTGATGTGGCACAGGTTATACTTACGTTAACAGTGTGTGTTACAAAATAAGACAAGCGACAATAAATCGTCGTTTTGACACACTGCATCAAAACCTGCTGGAAAACCATTCTGCTCAAGTTTTACTATGTTAGCCCTTTTCATTCAAGGGAAATAATGATATACTTAAAAAAAAAGTAAGCACAAGAACACGTCATCGGCTAATAATGAGTTACTTAGAGGTGCTCTTTGGACAAGTATGCTGGTAGACATAAAAAACAGAGGAGAGAAACTTCGGCAATCTCTGTTTTAAAAACGAACTTTTTCAGAGTATGTGAAACCCAAAACACAATCACAAGACTTCACCAGATAGCCCGGAGAATGTGGTTTAGAGTCAAACAAGGCCAAGCCATTGTAAATAATAAAATATATTATATAGTATTATATTAATATTAAAGTAAATATTATTGAAATGTTCTTGAGATATTCATAATCATCTCATTACAATTGTGACATCAATGTACATGATGAAACTAACCAGCAGCTGAAATCTATACTGTTTACAATAGGGTGTAGGCTACATCGAAAGATAACTTAAGTTACAACTGTGTTTTGTCAGAGCTAAATGACTAAAACAATATATACACAAGACTTGTTTTAATAGCTACGTAACTTAAACGGTAAATTGAAGGGGGAAAAAACTTAAGAGAATGTTTTGGCTGCTTTTCTGGGCGACACGTAAACGTTACTGTTTACTGTTAGCTAAAGATAGCATGCATATAACAATGAAAATAAACTATTATAAAAGGCCCACACTCAAGCCACGTTCAAGATCAATAAGTAATTTACCGTGGTGACAGCGGTACTTTAAGGCAGATTTAATATGGCACGTCAACGGGTATCAAGGCCTGCTAGCTGTAGCTTTGTAGCCTGTGTTAGCACTATCTTACCTTCAGCCTCTGTCGAAGAGACGAACGTGAAATCCCCGTTAGTGGGAGGAAACTGCATGGTTGGTTGTATTTTAATGCAATTCCCGTGGAGTACAGACAGATGACATTTAAAAAAGTGTTTAGAGATGTGTCGGAAAGCGTTAATATCGCTGTCATAGATCACAGCTCATCCACAAAGTTGCATCTTGTTTTCGTTCCGTCTGACACTTCTGCAGCTAAAGCAGGAAGTGCAGGGGAAGCTGGGAAATGAGACACGTATAATGATGCGTTCATGTGAAGTCATAAACCCTGGAAAATACACTTGCTCCCAAGACAAGTCCGCTCAACAGAAATGTGATTTATTCTTTGAACACGCTAATTGTTTTGTCCACAAATTACTTACGACTTCTGAAAGTTAAACCACCTTTTTTAAATTTCCATTAATGAATTAACAAACAAAATATATCTAAAAAAGCTTTAGAAATAAACACCAATTTACAGATTTTGATTCCAGATGAGAGCTCTGATTGTTCTTTTGTGTTTTCCTTTCTATTTAATTTGGTATGTTTTCTTGAAGTCATTCCGTCTGTAATGTGTGTGTGTTTAAAAAAAACAAAAAAAACAAAACAAAACGTTTTCCTAATTGTAACAGCCAGATTAGGATTTCAAATAAAGGTGGATATTTTTATATTGAACAAGCATATGGGTTTTCACTTTCAGGGTTTGTTAATATTTTGAATACAAGAGTTCCTAATGTTTCTGGCTAGTGGCTCTGGTTTTTTTTCCAACAGTGACTGATCTGCACTTTCACTATCACCTACAGCCATAGTGTTGAGCAGAAATAACACATTTCTCATAATGTTTGCGAAATCTAACAAAGTGTAAATTTAGTAAAAGTAGAACGCACTTGAAAACATCATTTTGTAATAATGATGTGTTAACTTCAATTCACAGCTAGTGAACACCAATTAAAAATCTATATATTTTAAGGAATTGGCCCTACTACAAAATGAGACAGCCCAAACTTGACTCATAAATAGGTTATACTTGATGCATACTTGATGCCACGTATCGATACTTTCACAGTTAAAGTGATAATTTAATTCACATATTTATTTGGGATACGAGTTTGCTGGCAGACGCCGGAATAAGAACCGGAGTGTCGCGTTTCATAGAGAGGCGAGGGAGGGGAACAGCAGCAATGTAAACATGTGAACGGGATGTCCAGAATATTTTTAGGAGCGCTCCCTCTGTCCTTCCGGAAACTCCGCAGTCTCTCGATCCAGCTGGCCAATCACAGCAGCTCATACTGAATCACGTCTTTTGCCGCTAAAACCAAACTCGCTTCGGCTGCTACACTGACAAGCTGCTAGGCTGTGGATGAAAGCTTCAGGAAAGAAGTAAGTGTAAAACATACATTTTCTGTTTTTCTGTCTCGACCAGTGTGTTTATGTTATACACAGACACGAACAACGGCTGCAGCCACCGTTAGTAAGCGTTATGTTAGTGAGGAAAGTGTCTACTGGGATGTGTGTCTGTCTACTGGGATGTGTGTCCGTCTACTGGGATGTGTGTCCGTCTACTGGGATGTGTGTCTGTCTACTGGGATGTGTGTCTGTCTACTGGGATGTGTGTCCGTCTACTGGGATGTGTGTCCGTCTACTGGGATGTGTGTCCGTCTACTGGGATCTGTGTCTGTCTACTGGGATGTGTGTCTATCTTACTTCTCACATTGGTTGATAAAAACTTTCTGCACTGTATTCAAAAGAAAATACGATATTATCATCATATCATCATATACTGTCTGTATTGTATGTAGAGATTACTAGTGCTTTCCACAAACATCCAAATGAACGTCACCTTGTTTATGGACAAACAGACACGGCTCCTACTGTATAACTGACCTGACCACATTTGTTTTTCTTATACTTTTGTTTAACGTTAAATTCTGCCGACTGTTGATGGCCAAGCAAGTCTTCATTCACCAGAAATCTCAAATGCGACTTTTGTATTGTGTTAGCTAGCATTAGCTACCCTACGCCTTTTCTTACGTATTTGTTGACGTAAACCTGAAACCAGTTTACTTGATGTTTAGTTTGCAGCAGCATGGCTATCTGATATTATAGTCTACATACAGGGTCAGGTAGAAAGCTGTAAGACCAGATCTTGGCCCATGTTAGTAATCCAGGTGGAAGAGTAGTCTGCACATCTTCACGCAAAGAGCTTGTGTTTGCAAAAGAGATGTAGACAGACAGATGGATAGATACTGTAATGATGCTGAGGAAAATCAGACAGATCAAAAGATGCTCAACGTATCTGTTACATTGTCAACTCAACCAATGGGTCAGTTTAATGAAAGATATATGAACATATATTCAAGTAAAGATTAATAAGTATTTATCCAGCATATCTTACCCTTCTTAGCATTATAACAATGCTTAAACCAGTCTTTATTCAAATCAGTCTTGAAAACTGTTTCCAGTCTAACAAATGCATACTATAAAATAGTCAGTTATCATAAAAAAATATAGTTCTTCAGTTTTATTAGCATCAACATTTGCAGAAGTAATCAATGAAAGCAACACAATCCAAAGATGTGGGGTAAGGAGAGAGGAAAATGAAGACTGTCAAATAAGTGACAATTAAGTCAAGAGAACAAGGGATGCAAAGTCATAAAAGGCATACATTACCTTCTATATCAGAAAGAGGAAGCACCATAAGTTGACAGATGACAAGCTTATTATCAATAGAAATAATGCACCAGGCCAGTAGGGGGCCCCCGAGGGCTGATAATCTTTAAACCACAGCAGTGACTTTAAATGTGCAAAGTTTGAAATTACAGTAGGAAACCTCCCTAAGGGGCCCCTATCTGACAGCACTCACTTATATAATAGGAAATAACTGAAGGATGCACGTCTAGAGACACTTTAATAACATAACTTCCACTAAAAATGTTGTTTTCGTGTTATTTATAACATAATAGGGATGAACACTGTTTCGAGGGGCCCCTTGTGATTTTTGCCTTGGGTCCAAACAAACTCTAGAATCTCTACTGCATAGCATGTGTAGTAATGAAGATCCTTTAGTCGTTTTGTGACTTCAGCAGTTTTGAAGGAAGGTGTCCGATCTATTTGAAGAGACAGAGTGTCTTACTTAAAAAGTAGTGACTCAAACATGGATCTCATTGTTTGCTCAGAAGGGCATAACACCAGAAATAATTATTTGATTTACTCTGTCAAAATATTTAACAAGTCATAGCAATGAGTTTGAAGAATGGCCGATTGCTTTCCTGTTTTTTTTTTTGTACAATTAAAGAATCTGTGTGACTCAGATCAGCTGCTCAAAATGGGAATCACTGGACTGCTGCAGTTCATCAAAGATGCAGGAGAGCCCATCAGTGTAAAGAAATACAAAGGCCAGACTGTGGCTGTGGACACGTACTGCTGGCTGCATAAAGGAGCATTTTCATGTGCTGAGAAGCTCGCTAAAGGAGAACCAACTGACCAGTAAGCATTTATGGTTTTCAAAAAAAGAAATATGTTTAAATAAGTTTCTTTGATTGAAAGTTCAATATTTATATTGACATTTTAATTCGTCCCATCCTAGGTACGTGTGGTACTGCATGAAATTTGTGGACATGCTGTTGAACTTCAGTGTCAAACCCATATTGGTGTTTGATGGACGTAATTTACCTTCCAAACATGAAGTGGAAAAATCGCGCAGAGAGTGAGTATTTACCTTGACCTTGATTGTATATGATACGCAGCATCCATAAAAGCATATTGTCTACGACCTCACAAGTTACCAAATGCTTTAAAGGGACGTCTATGATACAATAAAATAAGAACAGGTTTGTCTTTCAGACATTTTCCTCCAAAGAAGCAGTCTGCACCTTCATCAGGCTGTGACAAACTGTGATCAGTGCTTTGGTGACATGCAGTTACTGCTCCAGAGCTTGATGTACTTTTGCATTTCACGCATAAACACTCATGACAGATAAAAGTTACACAGAGGCTTCACGCTGGCCGGTTTGTCATTATAGATTATATATGACCTTTTTTCCTGCATGCATTCAACAAATCTCTTTGGAATCTGAACTGTAGGTTTGATATTACAGAGAATTTCATGGCGTTGCCATGGAAGCTGTGCTAGACATGTTTATCTGACATTTTGGAGAGAAGATACTATAAAGGATTGAGTTGTAATATAAGTAGCATCACCTGTTTTCAGCTGCTATCTGAAGTAACGTGTTGGAAGATGTGGGTGAATGTCGATTGAGTTTCACACAACGTATCAGGAATGATGTCTCATTCAAGGACACAATTCCTGGACACAACAATACTAAGACTGAAGTTGGGATAACAAGAGGGTAAAGCAATTATTGACTACAAGATCACTCAAACAGGAAAACAAATCTCTGTGCAGAAAATGGTTCCATAACAGAATTAATTAATGTTACCTTATCTCCCACAGAGATAATGACACTGTGCCAAACACAACAATCCAGTGTTTCTCAGTAACAAACAGGCTCAGACAAAGCTTTGTTCCTCTGAAGGACTGCATTCCAAAACAGCAACATTGACTCACTGTTTATGTGTGAAGGTGCAAACAGGAATGCATCCACCTGTAGACAGAAGACAACAGAGCTTGCTATCATCAGCAAGGAAGCTGAGCTGTATCTGTGTTATGAGCCTCCGTTTTGTTTCTCACTTTGTTTTAAAATGGGACTTTAGCTTATCTTCTAATGATCATTTGTAATGAATCTAATCGGTGGTTTCTTTTATGTGCTCTGCAGACGCAGAGAAACCAACCTTCAGAAAGGCCGACAGCTGCTGCGGGAAGGAAAACTGTCTGAGGCCAGAGACTGTTTTACCCGCTGTGTTAACATTACCCCAGCCATGGCTCATAACCTAATAAAGGTGAAGACTTATTTTCTCCTGCCAGATGTATATGAGAGCCTTAATTCTGAGGCTTCTCCCAAAGAGTAACCATTGTACACAATTAATAATACGCTTTCAATTTAAAAACACAGATCATTTTGTTCTGTTTGTTTGTTCTGTGTTAGTTTATTTCTGATTACATTCTAGAGTACTGGTGAAAATGTTTTGTGTTTCAGTAATTCATGTTTTATATTGAGCCAGGTTGCCAGGGCACGAGGGGTGGACTGCGTCGTGGCTCCATATGAAGCGGATGCTCAGTTAGCTTACCTCACTAAGTCCGGTCTGGCCCAGGCTGTCATTACAGAAGACTCTGACCTGCTGGCTTTTGGCTGCAAAAAGGTACCAAGTCAAAACTTTCCTGTCCACCTGCGTACATGTATAACACCTGCAGGAGCCCTGATCGTTCTATGAAGATGGTTAGTCATGTTTTTAAACCCATTTGAATGTTCTACACTCTTTTGTTACAACCTTGTAGGTAATCCTCAAAATGGACAAGGAGGGTAACGGCCTGGAGATAGACCAAGGTAACCTGGGCCGCTGCCGCCCTCTGGGGAACATTTTCACAGAAGAGAAGTTTCGTCACATGTGCATCCTCTCTGGCTGCGATTATCTGGCCTCACTGCACGGCATCGGCCTGGGCAAGGCCTGCAAGCTGCTGCGGCTGGCCAAAGACCCTGATATCCTCAAGGTTAGACTGTTAAGTTGATGTGTGAGGCTGAGAGACGACCAATTTTTACCACTGAGTCACAGCTACCCCTTGATGAGCTCCACAGTTATTTGTAATTTTTAGAGATCCTCATGCTAGAGCAGTCATGTTCGAATAGGGCTTCATGCAGGAAAACAAACCAAAGTGTTATATTTAGTGTAGGTAATCAATTAAAGTACACACAGTTCATAACAAGTACAAACTTTTTTTGACACAATCACTAGTATTTTTTGACAAGATGCACTTGTTGTCCTGTCAGGTGATCAGAAAGATGGGCCAGTACCTGAAGATGAGTCTTGTTGTCCCTGACGAGTACATTGAGGGATTCATCAGAGCCAACAACACCTTCCTCTACCAGCTGGTGTTTGATCCAGTCGGGAGGAAAGTCATCCCCCTAAACCCGTACCCAGAGCACATCGACCCAGCAACCCTCAGCTACGCTGGAGTGTATCCTCCTGTCCTGAAACACACCTGTCAAAGTGTCACCTTTGTAAACATGAAGTGTCACCCTTGGTTGATTTATGTTAAAGAAGTTCCTCTTAATGACTTGCACACTATTTTATCCTTGAGTTTATTAAATTCAGTAACCTAGGAGATGAAAAAGGCTTGCAGATGGCCATGGGCAACGTTGACATCAACACATTGAAGAAAATAGACGACTTCAACCCAGACAAACCTATGCAACAGGTATCTGATCAAAAGATTAACAGAGTTCTGATGAGCAAAGTCGAGTGTCAAATTTTAGATGAAAAACTTTTAAAATGTTGTTTCAGGCTTCTAAGCCCCGCAGTCACAGCTGGAACAGATCACCAGCTTCCACCAGGTCAAGTATCTGGAGCAAAGGCTTCAAGCCTGGATCTGCTGCCCCACCACAGTCTGCTGCTGCCTCCCCTGACACGCCTCCCTCCACCAGGGGGAAGGAGAGAGTCGTCAGCCTGGACGGTCTGAGGCTGCCCTGCAGAGAGCTGCAGGTGAAGAGACCACGGGAAGGTGCGCTGTTTACATACAACGTTTGGATCTCTTCTTATTTTATACTACAAATGCATCTATGTTACCCTGTCAGTAAACAGATCCTCCACTGCACAGACCTCATGATAAGAAAGGGTTGTGCTATGGAACTGTTTACTAACAAGGTTTCCAAATCTAGATTTAGAGATCTCCCTGTGTATGAGTGTTTTTTTCTTTGTTTTTTTTTTTTTCAGTTTCTCATCTTGAAAAGATGCAGTATAAAGTTATTTACAGTTTTAGTGAAGTGTAAAGATAAACTAGATTTAAACTGTGCTGCAGCTTCAGTTTTGAAGAAGAAAGAATTGGTTTTAGATTTGAAGCGAAACAGGTAAACACATCAGAAGGTTTTAAACATCATGTCCTCTTCTGTAGAAGAAACAGATCCTCCTCAGGTACTTTATCTTTATCTACTTTATGAGTCGCTACCAATCAATATTTATTATATCACCAAGCCGAATGAAAAATAAAGTTCAAAGCAGTGATAGCAGGCTTTAATATCAATCAGAGCGTCCTTTCTGTTTGTCGTCCATAGACTCTGGTATATCAGACCAGGATGTGCTTCAGCAGTACTCTGCCTTCAGTCCCAAGAGATCCAGGTCAGAAAAGCAGCCAGACAAGCCGACATCGACCAGTCAGCCCCGTCCACGCAACCGCTTTGCCACCCTGCTGCAGAGGAGAAACCAGGAAACTGAGGAGGATGGAGACGGCACATGCAGCAGGTAACATCACAGAAATCAGTCTCTTCTGCTTGTCAGCTTCTTATCAGACACGTTTTTGTCAAATCTGGAGACAAATGTTCACTATGAAGCACTGTCAAGCAAACAACACAAACATTTACCGTATAATGTTTAACAAACTCACAGACCTTAATGTCTAAGACTACATTCAGTTATTATCTGACTGAATTGTTGTCGATTCCAATTTTGGTTTATTTAAATAAGCTCAGGATAAAAAATGTAATTTCATAATAAGGCAGACAGAACAAAAGGGAAAATAAAGTATCACAATGATAACTTGTTTGACTCGGGAGGGAAATGACACGATGCCTGATGCAGAATCTGGAGTCCATCCGCAGGTAATTGAAGATTCTGTAATTAAAAAAAGCTGACAGTTTGTAACTACACTTCGATTAAAAGAAAGTAGAAATGTATTGTTCATTTAATGCTTTCAAAAAGGACAGCAAGAGTCAAAATAAGATTCTGTAACTACCGCTCATTATAAATACTCCTCCCCAAAAAAGAGTGAAAATGTGACGCAGCAGTTGCAGTAGATGAAATCATTTTGATAATGTTTCAAGAAATATATTTTTTATAGCACTGAGGGAATGCTAATTTCAAAATCATGCTAGTGTTTGAAAATTACCAACCCTGCCTTTAATTTAGAGCAGGAAGAAATAAGCTGCAAGGACAAGGTACAGAGAAAATAAAGGACAGTAATAGAGGAAAACTAAATAAAACATTTTGAAATAATCAAATAAAAAACATCAACAACAACATTTAACAAGTTAAATAAAGCTTTAGTCATGAGGTGAAGTCAAGTCATGGTTTGCCTAGTTTAGCAAAAAGACTGGAATCACATAAAAGCGAGCCTGGCGCTGCCCGCAGTGTGAAAAATAAACATGATGTAAATATTTTGAAGACGTGTGTTCTAGTGAGTACTCTTGATGCTGCCAAAATACTAAATCTAAACGGCTAAACCAAAATCCAGCAGATGGTACAACATAATTAATAATCCTCAGTAGTCTCCTCTGTTTGAGGCTTTAGAGATCTTCTCTCCCTCTAATGCCATCGCTGCCATTATACATCGTCTTCAAGATCTTCAACAAGTCCAGTTGCCTTTGAATCAAACTTTGAACTTATATTAGGTGACAAAAAATACATCATGTGTGGCTTTTAATAAGAAAAAGAGATGCAATGTTTAATGAGTAACCATACAAGATCAAAATAAATTAAGTAGAACTGCTATTGGTGAAGGAGGAAGATGCTTTGGCATTTTTCCAGACAGTTGAATGAAAGTAATCGTAAATTTACTTCAGTCTCATTTCTTGCATGAGTTTAGTGTATCATTGCATCCTTATTTTGGTATATTTTTTGTATTAGCTTTTTTTTGCAATAGTCCAGCACCTGTAGAACACAATAAGGTTAATGCTGTGTTCTAATGTGTTTATTTATTACAACTTGTAGATTCTTCAGCAGTTCGACTTCAGCAGACTGTGTGAGCACTAAGAAGTCCACTCAGCAGGATTCACATCAGGATGTGGAGCCCAGATCTTTGAGTCCTACTCAGGACGAGTCTCCCGGCACCAAGGCCGATGATAGCGATGCCCCTGATGTTTCATCTGTTGACACCCCCAGTCCCCCTCAGTCACCAAACACCACGTCTCCCAGTTCAGCCAGTCAGGGCCTCAGGTTGTTTAACTGGACAAGCAGCTCCCCCTCGACAGAAAGATCGAGAACACCTAAGTCCACCTCAGGCCTGGGTGCCCTGCAGCAGTTTCAGTATAAAAAGGAGACGTTTATGTCGTTCACAAAGACACGCAGCTCTATTGCAGATCCACCACCGCGCCTGTCATCCACTGAGGAAAACCAAAAGAACAATGATGACCTCACAGACTCCCCCCCTTCCCAGGACAGTGCATACTTCTCACAGTCCCAGCCTCACATCACTTCCTGTCCCAAAGAGGAGGTCCCCACCTACAGCTTCCCCACCTCCCACCAGGAGGATGCTGCATGTGTAGGTTCTTTACTGATCTCCAACACCCTCATATTTTTCTCTGCACATCTTGTGGTTGGGTTGCCAGTCACACATACATCATCATTATCATCATCATCAGAGTTTCCTGGATCACTAGTAGGTGTGATGAGAGCTATTTCTGGTTATATGGCTTTTTGATCTTTTATGTGTCTCTCTTGTCCTTCCCCAGGATATGAATTCAAGCAAAGATCCAGAGAGTGAACAAAGTCCCACACACTCACCAGTAGTAGAAATGAAACCCAGCATGATGAGATCAAAGGTGAGATGTTTCCTTTGCAGCGTTTTAATTCTGCTTTTTATTGTAGGGCTATTCAACTTCAATGGCAAGAGAGTGCCACAATGAAAAACCACACACAAGCCACTCAGAACATTTAGTCAATTAGCGACTACAAAGCGCGAACACTTGAAGTAAAATGTTAAAAGATCAAGAAAATAAAGTTAACAAAAATAAAATTAATAAATATTAACTGACATTAACCTTAAATATTGTTTTGGGTCTTTTGCCTTTATTAGATGAGACAGGGAATGTAGGGAGGAGAGAGTGGGGGATGACATGCAGCAAAAGGCCGAGGTAGGATTCAAACCCACAGCAGCTGCAGTGAGGACTGTAGTCTCTATACATGGGACGTGCAACCTAACCGCTAGGCTATCTGGTGCCCCCAGAAGACACTTTTTTTAAAATCACAGTATTTTTATATCACACTATTACTCCTACTTTATCATCTAGTTTTTATGTATTTTCCTCATCAAACTTTGATCAGCTCTGATTGCTCCACTTCTACCCACACACCACACATCTGTTTGCCATCTCTTGACACCACACACCAGCTGGCCCCACCCAACTCTTTCAGCCACTGCCTCCATCAACAGCAGGTTTCATTGAATCACCTAAAACACAACTTGGGTTTGAATTCTGCTGAGCCTGACTGTAAAAGGCCTGATTTTGATTAGGTGGCGTTTAGAGATCACAAATCTCACGGCTCAGATCACAGATTTTGTGTCAGGGATTTGGTTGTTTTTCGATTTGGTCCCCAAAAAAAAGGCCTTTTATAAAATAATGTTGTGGTCATTTCTGTAACACAAACTTGAAACTGGTGGAAAAGTGACAACAAACAGATTGACGTTTTTCAGGTTGAACACACCATATTGCAGATGGAATTTGAGTTTAAATTAGAAGTGAACTGTCAACATCCATCTGACACAGAGTGTGCTCCAGTTTTTCATGTGTCTGCTTTTATACACAATCATCAAAATAACAGTGACATCTGTGAGCTGTTCATCACTTCCTCTCCAACATGCCTCCTTCTTTGTCCGGTCGTCACTAAATATATATGGACATGTGTGAAGGTCTAACTACTACAAGTCTCTTTGACTCTAACACTCCCACGATGTCAAAGTATCTGTGGCATGAACTCCGCTGTTTACTCATTATTTTCTCAGTTGTTTATATTGTGCATGATATTTATGCATGATTTACTCCTCAGTCAGTCATGATTATAACCACAATGCATCTCAAGTAGTGTACAGCATCCTCTATATACTCATTGCTACAATGCCAATAGTTATACACATTCACATAAACCTGGAGTCCCTATTTGTTTATTTATTTGTTTATGTCTATTTATTTATTTAGACTGTGCTTTTAAAAAAAATCAGACTGTTCTATAAAAAATGCTGCATTGTTTCAACAACAGTTATTGTTACCTCCAACTAAGTCATCAGCATTTCTTCATCTCTATCTGTCTGCATCTTTCTGCATCTCCCTCTATCCCCTCACAACCCTGACACATGTCTGCTCATCATGAGTCTGCTTCTGCTCGAGGTTTCTGCGTGTTTAAAGGACGTTTTTTCATTGCCACTGTAACTTTGACAAATGTTGCATCATGGATTCATGTTAGGTCTTTGAAAATAATACAGCAAAGAGTACGGTCTAGACCGGCTATTTTAAAAAGTGACTTGAGATAATGTTTGTTATGAATTGGCGCTATATAAATAAAGATTGCTTCATTCATTAATTACAAAGACAAAACAGAAATCATTTTGTGATAACACGTTTACTGGAATCGTTTTCTTGTATGAGCTGTGACAATGTTGAACATGAGGCACACACACCTTTCATTTAGCAGATGTGATATGTGCGACTGTGCAGAAATAATAATTAAATGCTGAATTGGGACACCAAATATACTTGAGCACCTGTTAACAGTCTGTGTGGGGAACACTGGATGTTCATCTTGCAAACACTTCAGCCTGATGCAGGCAGCATCGCATGGGTCATGGAAAGATGAAAAACGTGTGTCCCACAGGCTGTTAGTTCAATATTCCTGTTTTAAATGGAGCAAGGCATCCCAGATTGTTTTTTGAGTGAGTAGAGCAGGCTGTTGTCTGTCTGTCTTGAAGAGCCACAAACACCCTAGATAATTTTGTTTAGTTTAGTTCTTGACAGCATGGGATATTTAATGCTTCATGAGGGTTTTTTTCTTTCCCATGAAACCAAACAATAATAAAATATCTTGCCACTTTTAATAGCAGCAGGTGTTCACTGTCTTCAGTGTTTAAATCTCTTTTATACATGTTCTTTCTCTTTCCAGGTTTCAGGTCTGTCCAAACCAAAGTCCAGCAGCCAGGGTCAAGCAGCCAAAGTGGGGATGTTGGGCCCAGCCAGGGCCAGCGGTCTGAGGAAGAAGAAAAACTCCTCCACCAACAATGAGAACAGCCCTGGTGTCCAGGCCACAATCAGCAGCCTGTGGAAGAATTTCAGCTTCAAAAAGTAAAAAGAAAAGTACTTAAGATACTTTGTAAATGATACAATATTTGAATGTAATTCTAATCCCTTTGATTGCAGTGGTAAAGTGTCACATGTATACATTTCTGTTCTCTGTGGATGAAATGACAGGATAGTGACTCTCAGGTTCCCACATTAAATCTAGTTAGTTTGTAACTTAAGTGGTGTCATTGTTGGTTGCACCACAGAGACTTAAGAGTCATCTTACCTAGTAGAGCATAACAAACCAAAATATTGTGGCAGAATTGACATTTAAACTTAATCTGACCAATCAGTGAAAGCACATTCTCAAAGCAGTGTTTGTTACAGTGTTACCTCTCGTGTCTGATCGTCTCTGAACAGACTAACAGTTGAAAATAACCTACATAAAACAGCTGTGACACACAGTGAAGAAAATAAGCTTTACCATTACCGGTAGGTGATAACTAAAGCCAACACCTTTAATCTACAGCTAGTGTAAAATATCATCAAGTGACATCAATTGGTGAAATCATTAATCCCAACATAAGGTAATTTAACAGCACTCTGTTATTGGTACAAAACAAAGTCATCATACATTTCTAAGAGATGTAATCTCTATTCCAGAGAACTCACTTAGCACCAGGTAAAAACATCTGCTCCTCCTCATCCTCCAAGTTATCCAGCCGTTCAAAACAAATCATAGAGGGTCATATTTTCCTGAGGGTGTTAAACCTACAAGGTGTAAGATTTAAGTTGTTACTTCTGTCTAAATTGGAATTATCTCATCTTGGAATTATCTCAACATTTTAAATGTTTGTAAAGCTTAAAGGAAGAATGTGCGACTCTTTGATCCAGGAGATGTCGCCCTTGAGCACCAGCACTAAACCAAAACAAACTGCTGTTTGGCGACACCTCCTCCATACTGAAGCCTCCGCTCTCCTACAGTGACACACCTCCAACCCCTCTCCACTCGCGTTCACATGAAGGAGTTATGAATTGTAAAGCACCATAATTAAGCTCCATTAAGAGCAAACTGTGTACAAAATTGTACTTTGCTCGAGCTTAAACTCAATTCAATTCATCAATTCAAAAAACTTTATTTGTCCCCGGGGGGTAATTCAAACTGCCTGTGTCCTGCATTGTTGTGTTAGCACGCTAATGTTAGCACACTTTGGTTAACTCAGCCTCATATTGCACCTCGATTGACACAGAATGACCGTGATCTAAATACACTTAGGTGACATCCAAATAAGCACTGAGTATGTTACACACACAAGGCCGTCCTGTCCATGTAAACACGATGTAAACACGATGTAAACACGATTCAGACAACAATACATCTGGCAGGACTCTGACTCACACTTCTCACTCTTAGTAGATCCAGTAGATCCTGTAACTTGTGCAACCCAGTGTAGAGCTGCATCTGTGACAGCAGCACTGTTATTGCCCAATCTCAATCTAGTATTCAACCATCAGTTTAAAAAAGATCTATAGAGCAGTTAAAAACCTTAAATACTGGAAGGCCCTTCTCTCTGACATTTCCTTTGTCTTTTATTTTGTTTAGATTTTAAGTGCACAGGGTCAAGTGCTCCAATTAACTGTTTGACCTCTGACCTTCTAACTGTTAGGTGGCCTAGAACAAAATCAAATGACCAACTACTTAGATTTATAAGAAAAGCTGGCTTGCTTTTTTGTACAGTTGACAAAGTGAGACATCTGTTTTTTTTTCCAATAATTTCTTTTAACTAATTTCTATTATGTCCTCTGCAAGATGTGTTGTTTCGGTGGTCACCGACATTTTCAGTTCCAGTATTTTCTCTTAGGTAGAAACAAATAAATACATTTCTTGTCACCTTATTCAACCTGTTAATCACACCAGAAGAATTAAAAGCTTAGCTGAAGCAGAAACAGGATTGTTCACATTGTTAAAAAAAACAAAAAACATTGTCGAAGCAGGGAGGAGAAATCGGTTTAGGCCTCAGACATCTGGCTGTGATTGCTGGGAGTGACACGGTTTGTAATAGAACTGCTATCATACCACTTCTTTTGTGTTTTTCAGAGATTCTCAAAAGATGACTCCCTTGTCAAAAGGAAAGCCCATGTCTCCAGTCAAAGATAACCTGCTGGCCAGCTCCCCTCAGACGGACATAAACGTAATAACCAGCTTCTGATCCATATTCTGAATGTCTCCCACAGTGCTGAGTACGCCCTGTGTGGGACTGAAGCTTTTAAACATACCATGTATGTCCAGGATTTCTTGCTAACGTGTATGTATTTTTTTTTGTGTAGTTTTAAATAAAGATACTCTGAGTTGAGCCAATCCTGTTTGTGTTGTTTGTGAGTTTCTGAACTGAACTCAAGTTATTTAAAGTGAGGTTGCGTCACATCTTCTTTCTTTTGTCTGTTGCTTCAACGCTGCAGTCAAAGAATGTGTCACCTAGTAAAAATGCACAATGCATACTTGAGTGTTTACTGAAAATGCTCGACCTGCATGCATGCTGAGGAATGTGGAGATAAGACGGCTAGCTTCCCTCTGTCTCCAGAACAGTGTTGAGTTTTTACACCTGTCAGCCTGAGTGAACGCTTCTTGTCAGGAAAGGATCCGTTCTTTCATTTTACCAACATCAGATTGATTGTGTTCTTGTGTTTTTTATTAAGATAAATATCTCCTCAGGTCGTTTCTTTGCAATCTGTTTGTAGTTTCTGTTTATCTACCTCTCCAAAATGAAAATATACTTTTTTTTTCTTTAATACTTTTTTGCAGCTTCTCTCCAATTCTGTAAATAGTCCTCCTACCACTCTGATAACAAAGCTGCTATTGCAATGAAATGGAGAATAACTTTTAGTTCTACTGTTTATAATTCTAGTTTCTCCATATGACTTAATGTTTAACTGTTGTTCACCAGCATTCTGCACACAGACAAGAATACATTTTTGGAGAGGAATGTTACACATATGATCAATTTATTTTTATTTAAGCATTTAAACATAAAGTGTCTAAATATTCCTGAATCACCTCCGATTCTGACTGTTCAACACAAGGAGTGTTCATGTGAAGGAAACAGCCCGCTTGTAGGATGACAGTCTTTGAACATACAAACCAAACACTAGGCCATCGGCGCACCTGAGACTGTTTTCAATATGACAACCACCAAAATATGGTTTCATCATACCTCTTCAGAAACCAATGGGTGACGTCCCTGATACTGTGTCCATGTTTTATATTGTCTGTGATTATAACACAAGCTTTTCTAGGGGACACTGACAAATGCAGAGGAAAAAAAACATTTACAAAATATTTTAACAAGATACAGTGCAGAAGGAGCTACCCTAAATAATGTTAAAATATCACTAAATTAAAAAAAACACATAAGACAGAAAATTATATAACAAATATGTAAGAAATAAATGATTAAACTACAAGCAGTAACAATGACAAACAAACCAAGAGCAGAACATGTTTGTCAATGTGAGTGTGTGTGTGTGAGATCTGTTTTAACACATGTAGAGAAACCAGAGCAAAAATACTACTAATAACTATGTACAAGTGATTCAGATAAACTATAGATACATGGATAATGAGTAGCTAATGAAGAGCAGCTGAATGTAGTTGTGGTGTTATTAAAGGTGGCCTTCGATCATTTGTGTAAGAAAATAAACTACATTGTTTTCCAGCTTCACTTTCCCGTGGTCCACATGTATTTTGGATACTTGCTGTGCTAGTGTTAGTCGTGTTTATTAGCCTACCATTTCAAATAACCTTACAACCACTATAACAAACCGAGCTTTGTCTTTTATTTCAGTAATGGTTGCTGTAGTGTAGAGATGTTATCAAAGAAGACGGATGTCTACAAAGTGAGTTTTATTACATTAGTCATTCCAGCATGTTGCTGTGGGGCTGAATACCTCAGATAATCCGGATACCTGGCATGCTTCAGTCAAAATTTCAGCTGGGCTGATTTATTGCACAAGAGCTAATGACTGCCTTAACCTTGATACGCTTTCAAGTTAAGACACTATCTACAACACCAAACTTTTTAAGGACAAGAGACAAATGAGCTTTAAGAGTACAATTTTGTTTCAGCATTCTGCCTGTAAACAAATGATCACGACATAAAAATACAGGGCACAAGAAGTGAGTGAATGAACAGTAACTCCTTGTGAACAGTATTCACAAGGAGATTTAACTTTCTTTTGGTCGTAATTCAAAGCTTCGAGAACACATCAAAACATTTTTGATTCTGCTCAGTTATTTGAGGTTATCAACTTGATGAGCTCCACCTAAAATTGTGTGGCTGCAATTAGAATAGGAGTGATAATTGTTGGGACGGGCATTAGGCCGCAGGTAGACAGTCAGCAGGTGTGAAACTGAAAAAGGAACATGCATTTAAAAACCGGTCACAGGTGACAAGTTCAATGAAGAAATTCTTGGCCATCTGGGACCCCATTTCTTGCCCACTTGGACAAAGCTGACATGGGGTGAAAACTCACCTTGTTACCTCCACAGACCTCTTCTTAGAAACTCAATATAAAGCATATTTGAGTGTACTGAATGACTGGAAGCTATCTAAGAAAATTCAATTGACTTTCCATATATTTTATCATCATTATTCTTTAATGTACATGTTTGAGCCACATTTGTTTGTTTGAATTCTTGTCTGTTCTTGTATTATTTGTATTATGCACAAAAACTAAAAACTATAAAAAAGCAGATCACGGGTTCTCCTGTTGGAACCTATACATTTAAAAATGTATTTAAAAAAAACATATTTGTTCATCCTTTACACATGGTCTTTCACCGCATTCTCTGTTGAACACATTACACGAGCAGAGACTGTATCAAGACTCGTATCTCTGCCTGACACACTGTTGGTACAACTAAATCTAAGTCAAACAATGCACAATCTGTAATACAGCCATAAGTACATCATTATATAACATTTACAGGCTGAAAAGGACAACACATGACACATTTCCCCAAGGCAGTTTTTTTTTGCTATATTTTTTCAATTCTTTGGTGAAAACTCAAATCAAGGTGCACAGATCTGTGGGAATCACAGCTGCCTGCAAGAAATGTGTTTTCTTGAGAGCTACTCTGTACACTTAAAATCTGATCAGTATGATGCAAGCTGTAAGCTGTTGTAGGTTGGTTGACGGCTCCAATAATGACAAGGCCTGCCCTAAACTTACTTTAATGCTTCTTCAGACTGTAAGAAACAAACTCTTATATTCACAAGGGATCACATTTTTAAATTTATATTACTGTCCTGAATGCTGAACATGTGGGTTGATTGGAGCTCTCACATGCCAGCTTATCATAAACTTGCTTGCATCCAGTTTGTGTCATTCAGGCCTTGTGTTTGGTTATTACAAATGTACCAATGTCATGTTGAGTAAAGTCTAATATGGTCTGCTCATACGGAGTCTGTCTTGAGCACAGGTTTGTTAATCTGAAGTCCACAAAAAAAGTGTTAAAGAATGTATTGAATCATTTTACTTCTCAAGTAAAACGAATATGTGACATTCTTTCCATCTTCTAATGACACCCTCGTGGAAGGAAGTTATCTTTACCACATCCTCATAGTCAGATGGGGGGAGGGGTTGCACAAATGTGTCATTATAAGGTCATACAGTATTATAGTTTTGGTCAAACGTATGCACTGGCTTTATTACAGTTGCCTGTCGCTATACAAAACAAGGCAGACTTGATGTTTGTTTTTCACCTTAAATCACCATATCAGGGACATGGTGTCAAACCTTCACTAGTCCTGTTTGATCAAATGATTCACTGTTTAGAAATGAGTGTTGTGTTTGGTAATTGTATCCTCACTAAATACTAAATATGTCCTCACCATAGGACATATTTAGTTAAGTGATTCACTGGATGACCTCTCTATTTGCAGGGAGTGTCGGTGAGTTGTAAGTACTTAAAAAAAAGTTATATTTAATGGTTTTTCAGAATCCTGAACGGTTTTGTCATAAATAGGATATAGGATTCAATAACAATGTTTCTCTAAATTATTTCATCTTTATTATTTCATGTTTTTTAAATTGTAATTATACCATGGCACATTAAAAACACTCTTAAAGTCTTTATGTGCGATTTTTCCCACTTAAATGTAATATAAATCAAGTATATCCTCTGAAAATAACTCTGTGAGTCATGACTGTCTACAATGAGTGTAACACCCGAGTCCCACTGTCTGTGATGTTTTCAGAGTTTTCAGAGTCCTATCTTCAGTTTGTTTACATCGCCTGGACGTTGGCTGACTCCTCCCCTCACGTATAAAAGTTTTTTAATTGAGGGACTAGAGAAAAGAAGAATAACATACTGTACTCACTGTTTAACTGTGTTTCTAGATCACGCTCATTTCAGCTAAATTTACATGCAGTGTGAAGATACAAGCATAATAAAGATCGCTAGCATTAGCATGCTAACACAACAATACACCATGAGTTGTTTTGGTTGCATGCTGGTGCTCAAGGGCGACATCTGCTGGATCAAAAAATCACATATAAAGCCTTTAAGCTTTGTGGTTGATGTTTCTTGTTGATTTTAAACTTGAGAGTCATACTAAATCTTTTAGTGTTTGGCCTTAGACCAGCAAAAACTAATCCACTATAATTTGTGATTACATCCATGCTTGTATGATTGTACAGCGATTTGAACCCATCTACAGAAGTATTAGACCCTCAGAGAACCACCCCACCCCCTCCACCCCCTCCACCCCCTCCAGCTGCTCAGCTTATGGGAAGTCAGTTGAGGTTGCAGAAAGATTGTGTTCAGTTTGCCTGGTGGGGTTCTAGTCCTGTATGGACATCAGACATCATGAGTTATTATCTTTCACAAACAAGCTGATCTATTCTCTCAAATTAAAATGAGAAGTTTCACATTAGTAATGCATTTGTAAAAAAGAAAGGAAAAGAGACAGAATAAAGAGGGAGGCTTTGGAAACAAATGCTATAGGGTTCCTAAAACCAGGCAACAAAGATGCCTTGAAACACAAGAAGAACATTGAAGCAGACAAGGAATGGTTACTCTAAAAAGACTCTCAAGAGTACCTTGAAGCAGATTTGAAAGAGTGTTTTTAAACATTTGAAACAGGAAACTTGAAATTGATGGAGAATTTTTTGTTACTTTGTGTGTCTATATGAGAAGAAAATGTACCTTTTGTATTTAATGTATGCATTTTATCAATATATAGAATCTGTTAAATGGGGATATGTTGTAGTTTTACGCGCACAATCATGTAGAATATTTTTTCAAAGCACTAAATGTTTTCTGATTAGGTCCTTTTTTTCTTCATAACGATTAAAATG